AAGGGATTTCCAACAAAGCTTTGAAACCTCAGCCTGTACCCTCCGAGGACAAGGAGTGCGTTGCTTTGCAGCAAGCAGACCAGCGTTACGGTCCTACCTGCCTCTTGTGCCTTGGGGAAGCCCCAGCCCACAGCTCCCATCGCCAAGCTCTGGATGACTCTCACCTCCTCCAGACCACAGCTTTCCTGCGGTTCTCCCCGTGAGAGGACAACTTGTGCTGGCACCAACCATTGTTTCATTGTTCTCTCGCTGCAGGGACTGATAGTTGTTAATGACTTGAGGTGTGATTAATTTTTAACGGCATCAACTTAATTGCTGGGCTATAAATAGACCTTCCCACCCCTTCTCTGGCTCAGCTGCTTTCTCATGTATGTTTTGCTCCATGTTGGGGGGATCACAGTCCTGAAAACTCTGTGCTGCGAGTACCTTCCCCGTGCTGCGCAGGATGCTCGGGGGTATTGGTCCCCCCGCAGTGACAGAGCTGTAGGAGCCCAGTCTCTGCCAAGGATGGCCCCGGAGTTTGTCCCGAGGAAGTTCTGCCAGACCAGCTGTGATGGAGCCCATCGCAGCGAGGGAAACACCAGGGGATCTGTGGAGGTCCCACAGACTTCCCAGGAGCCAGGCAGGCAAGAACTGTGATGCTAAGACCTCTCTCCACTCTGTGCCCCACCATCCCTCTACAAAGGGTCTTCAGATGCTGCACAGGAGCCCAGGAGCCCAAAAGCTCACCAGTATCTTCCAGGAGGTGCGTGGATCCAAGAGCCGCCAGCAGCGCTCCTGAGGACAGGAGAACGGTCCTGTCCTTTGGGAAGGGGTGAGCTACCTCTCGGCAGAGGGACAAGGCTCGGAGCTGGGTGCTGCGTGGAGAACAACTGATACAACCAGCCCGGCCCTCAAAAGGGGCCCTTGTTCGACATGAGTGTCACTTCCCTGTCCTTACTGTAATGAGGGCAGGAAGAGCTGGCAAATACCCCAGGTCACTTGAACCTGAGCCTGGCATTGAACTCCTGACCCAGAAAGCAAAGCCTCCTGGCCCAGGCAAATCCCCTCGGCCAGCCCATCCCGCCTCTCCTCCTGCTGGGGGATTTGTGGGAATTATCCTCCCTCCACCGTCCCCCCGGGGTCCTTCTGCCTCGCAGCCTCCTCTCTGCCTTGCATTTTCTATCCCTTAATGACCCTAAGAAGGGGCACTTTTCCCCTAATGCCTTGGGATGCGTTGCCTGGAGAAAGCCGGATGCAAGGATATGGGCTACTCTCTGCTCGGAGCACGGGGCCAGATTCTGGATGGGTTGTGCCGGGGTGGGCTTGGGCAGCCCCTCCGCAGCTCTCCGTGCCAGGGATGTGAGAGCTCACCTGGGATGCAGCAGCCGGCACATCCGCATCTCCAGGCTGCTGCTTGACATGTTAATGAAAATATTCTACGGCTAATTAAAGTCATTTAACACTAACCGTGTCTATGGATTAATTAGAAAAAAGCAGAAATGGCATCAGGCTGGAGCCCGAGCAGCTCCCGGCGAGGCAGAGCAGGCACATGGCTCCCTGGAGGGATGAGGCGAATTCCCCGGGCTGGAGAGAGCCGGGGCAGGTAGAAGCACCCTCCTCATCCTCGCCTGAGCATGGGTGGCTCCGAAATTCCTCCTGTGTCCTTTCAGTGCAGCAGGTTTGGCTGAGCAGGCACAGGGACAAGGTACGGGGCTCGCTCCGGAGGGATGGCAAGGTGACTGGGAGCATGGTGGGATGCTGGCGGGCGGCTCTGTGACCACCAAGGGGAGGACATGCTCATCCACAGTGGCTGCCGATGGGCAGCGGCTTCTTCAGCTGCTGCTCCAGGATGGGGCTGTCCTGCTTCTCCCTGCCTGAGCCTGGGTGAGCCCCCCTCTCCCCTGGGCAATCCCCCATTTATCCTGGGTGATCCCCCCCTCCCTGGGGCAGGCACCAGAGGCAAGAAAGCAAGAAGATCTCTACTCCCCAGCATGGAGGTGGGCCATTCTGGCTTCGCTGCAAGAGGCAGCAATAGCCTCCTGCCTCCAAGACTGCCGAAAACCAGGATCAGATGCTGCGAAAGTAACGTAAGAGCCTAAAAGAGGCTTTTTTTGCTCCGGCAGGATTTCTCAGGGGCGCAGCCTGATCAGCGGACGCACTTATGGGGACGCTTGGCTGCAGCTCTCCAGCTGTGATGACATCGTGTCTCTTCCTATCTCATCACGCTGTTTGCACCACTCTTTTCTCGCAGAGGAGCGGAGATGAATCATTCTTCCCCCCCTGAACATTTACAGGCAAAAAAAAACCCTCCTCGGCGGCCCCTTCCTTCGTGCCCCCGCTTTGCTCTCCCCTCCTGTGGTGGGCTCCCATCGCGTCCAGGGGTCCTGGCAGAGAGCAAAGTTGGGAGCAGCTGGCAGGGCAAGGCTTCCTAATCTTGAAACCAAGATATAATCCAGTGAAGGGATGGAAAGGATCCATTCTGCTGTCCCAGCCACCAACACAACACAAATGTCAACCAAGAAAGAGTGACAAGATGCTGCTGGTTGGGAATCCACCAACAAAACATTAGATGGAGCAATTAGACCATGAACTGCCCTAAGTCCTGGGAGTTGCTCCTGGATAACGCTGTGGGGAAAACCACCCAAAAGTACCCAAAATGCTCTGATTGTTGCAAATGTTGGATTTGTCCCTGCCTGAGCTGATGGACACAGAGGAGCCTGGTGGGACAGGAGTGGCTGGTGGTGACAATCCAGTCTCCAGGCCACATCCAGGTCAGACCAGCATGCTGCAAGGAGCCATGCAATACCCTCCAGATCTAAGCGGTCCTGTAAAACCCTGCGGTCACCCAGCTCTTGCAACGACCGAGGAAACCTCCCAGCCATGAACGGCAAGGGACCGGGGCAGGGGGTGATGCCTGAGTGTGCAGAGAGCCTGAAACGCTGACCCAAGGGGACCTGCACCCCGCTAATGAGAGGAGGAAGCCGGGCACCGAGCCTCGCACTGCCATCCCCGGGCACGGTGGTGGCTGGGGAGGGACGGGTGGCGGGGGGGGAGCCAGGAAGGTACAACTGGGAGTTTGCTGCAGGGAAGGAAATGCTGTGAAAAGCACAGAAAGGGATTAAAAAAGACAGAGATGAAGGAGAGAGATGGGAAAAAAAGGATGCAGGAAGGAGAAGAGAAGAGGAGAAGAGACAGCCATGGCCTACAGGGTGTGAATTTTCTCACTGAGTGATGAAGGCAGCAATGAGGCACCAAACAAGCAGTAAATAAGCGAACATTAGTCCCTAAGGAGAGGCTGCGCCCTCCCGGCCCCAGCCTAGGCCAGCCAGTGCCCTCTGCCCCATGCCACTGCCGGACGCACCGGCTGCCCGTCCCTTCCCATGCCTGCCAGGAAGCCAAAGCTCTTCCTCCAGCATGGCACGGCCAAGCCCACCCATGTCCCTCCCAGCTCTGTGGAGGTGACACTGGGACCAGGGCTTTGGCTGAGACCCCGGGAAGACGGACCCCCATGCAGCACCCAGTTCACCGGCGTGCTTCGCTCCTAACCGCGGCACAGCCGTGCCAGCTGCCAGCACCTCCTTGCACGTATCCCATAGACAGAAACATGCTTCTTACTAAAAAAACCCTGCTCTGCCACCAAAAGAGACAAAACGACTATTTTTTGTGCTCTGCTCCCCCTTGCAGGACCATGCAGTGGCCGCACAGCGAATGCCGAAGCACCACCGAGCAACAGGGTCTCCCCAAAATCAGGCCCCCTCAGCACGCGAGGGGAGCTTGGAGCCGGGGGCCTGGCTGCTGACAGCTGGGACAGGTTTGTTCCACAAGAGGTTTGCAAAAATTGAAATTATTTCCTATCTGAAGCAATGAAGCCACATAGCTGTCTCCAAATGCGCCTTTTACTGGCCAGAGAAGGGGAAGAATGGGCTGGCAGAGTCATTTCTGTATGTCCCAGCTGTGCTGCTTTGCACTGCGTTCTTCATTAATTTTATTATTCTTACTATTTCTGTATAAATTTTTTAAGCCGAAACCATCGCAACCCCAGCAGATGCACTTTTTGCTTAGCAGACATCAACACCAACTTCCCAGTAACACGCAACCTCTCCCACCTCTGCTTGCCCAGGCTGTGCCGTGCCGCCCAGCTCTCTCTGCACCGGGCAAACCTCGGCAGAGGAGAACCAGGAAAATCCCTCCCCGCCAGTGAAGCTCCGCGCAGGGGTGATGGAGAAATCCAGGAAAAACCATCCCACATGGTGATGGAGAAGAAATGCCCAGGCCATGCCGCAGCCCAGGGGTCCCCCGGTCTGCAGGGAGAGTCCCCAGTGGTATCCCCACCCCACTGGGAGTGGGGGAGCGAAGCCACGGAGGCTGCAGAGAGGAAGGAGACGGCGGGGTGCAGGATCCGTGCAGGATCCATCCAGCTCGTACACAGCCAAACGCCTGATCCTGACAGCACCCACAATGACGCCCGACCCCGCCTACCCATCCTATGCTGTGGGTGCTGCCGTAAGGACCTCGGGTCCCCGCTGACACCCTCCTGCTCTTTTCTCTTCCCCGCTTTGCCGGACCCTCCCGGGGGAGCTGGGGGACGCTGCCCACAGGGGAGCAGCGTGGCGGCCGGGGAGGTCCCTGCGGACCCCGCTCAGGGCTGCCCCTCGCCCCCCCCCATAACCCTAAACTGACCGCTCCTCTGGCTCAAGAGTTAGGGGTGGAGGAGAGCCATTGCCCGCAGCACCACGCACACTCGCCCCCCGGCCGCGCTCAGCCCCGGCTCCCGACCGAAACACCGGCCAGCACCCCTCCATCCCGGCAAGCGCCGAGCCCCTCCACCCGGGTTTGGGACCGTGGGCTCGGCTGAGCCCCGGCTTTCCCCCAGGAGAGCTCTCGCCCACCCCAACCCCACTTTCTGCCCGCTCTGCCTCCCACCACCGCCCTCGCCACACCGGCAGCTGGCACGCCTGTCCCCGTGTGGCCGTGCCACAGGGATGTCCCCGCCACGGAGAAGCCACCACGACCCTTACCTGGGTCTCGGAGAGGTTGAGCTGCCGGGCTAGCTCCGTCCTCTCCCTGCCCACCACGTACTGGCAGCGCTGGAACTCCAGCTCCAGGCGATAGAGCTGCTCCGCCGTGAAGGACGTCCGGGTCCGCTTGGGCCGGTCCAGGTCCAGGCCCTTGGGAAGCACGATCTCCCGGATCGTCCCTTTGGCATCTGGGAGGGAAGCGGGGAGAAGGGCAGTCAGGAAAAAAGCTGGGCTGGGGAGGAAAGGGACTGGGGAAACTGGTTCCAAATAGACCTTACTGGGGGGGTGAAAGCTGAATTAAACACCGGCTGCACCGTCGAGCGACAGGGCTCGCTGCAGGAGGAACTGTGAAAATCCCCCAAGCTGTGGCTAAAAGAGGCGACATCCCATAGTTTGGTTGTCCCCTCTGGCCCCAAATGCTGCAAATGTATAAACCTCCAGGGAACAGTAACAAAGTCTTCCTAAATTTTTTTTTTTTTAAGTGATAAATAGAAACCAAAAAATCTTTAAGGAAAACTGAGCGTTTAATCACAGAAATCATAGTTTCTGAAAGCCAGAACAGAAGACAGTTCTACATCAAGAAAGAGTTCAAATTAAAGATTATTTAATTAAAAATATATTTTGTTTTTTTATTCCTGTCCTTCCTTGGAAATACTAGAAAAATTTTATCTCTATCACAATTCTCTTTTTTCCAGAATTATTCTCACTGAAGGAATATTCTCTTGAAAAGCAGCAGCTCCTACTTTGGGGCAATTCTCTATTAAAGGACAAGTTTTGGAAGTGCCGCATGCCCCGAACTGCTCATGGCAGATTTTACAAGGCCGGGGCTATCGCTGCCCACAGCCTGACGTCGGGAAACAAAAGCCAGAGGGTTCAGCTCCCACATTAGCCCTGCACAGCCCCTTCCATGCCGTGGGATGCCGTTTGCAGCCCTTCCAAAGGAGCCATGGCTTTACTTTCCACTGACAAAGGACGAGCTCTCCCAGAAAAATCCATGGAGCCCCGAGGTGCCAGGAAGCCTGTCCCAGCTCCATGGGCTGGGATGTGCCCGATGGGCTCTGTGTGCCCGGGGTGCACCAGGTATTAAAAAATGAGCCTTGGAAATTTCCCACTGGGTTCCTGCCAGACCCCAAACCCCTCGCGCTCCTTGTCCCCCGGTGCTGGCTTTCCTTAAGCACCAGTAACACCAGTGGAGAGCCCGGTTTGGGTAAGCCCTGGCTGCAGAGCTCCCTGTTTCTGCGCAGTGGCTTTCTTGCAGGTTAAAAACCAGCCACAAAAGTCACACTGGGCAAGCAGCCCCAAGCCCAGAGGGACCCAAGGTCCCCAGCAGCCCTGGCTGGAGGTAAATTGCTTTCTCTCTTTCCAGCTGACTCAGGCATGAAAGGATTATAAAATCGGTGGGGCAGGAAGGGGGAAAATAGTGCGGAGCAGCCTGGGAAGGGGTGATGGAGCTGGCATGGGGACAGCGGAGCTGGCATGGGGATGGCGGGAGTGGGGAGTGAGCACAGACTCAGGAAAGGGACTCCAATCCCGAAGCTAGTTTCGCACCGCTATGTTGTGGTACGTGTGTGACGGCAGAGGTGCCGTCCCGGCACAGCCAGCCTGCTCCAGGCTGGAGCACGGCACTGCAGAGGGCTTGGGGAAGGCCAGGGTGGGAGGGGGTCCGGTGGGACCATGAGCATGGGCTCTGATCCGCACCCCCAAACTCCACGGGTGGGCTGTCGGAAAGGAAAGGGGTTGTAAGTGGATTGGAGGTATCTCTGGTGGGATCGGGATGCCAGCCTGGGAACCATTTTGTGAAGGAAAGAGCATTTGCAGGGATGATGCCCGGACCACGTCCGCACTCTCGCGTCCACGCTGCGGTCCCCTGACACAACAACAGCCGGGGCTGCCAGCAAGGAGCAGCTAACAGAGACGCTCATGCTTTCCAGCTGCAGCTGCGAGTATCTGCCCCTCCGCCCTCGCCGCTCTGTACGGCGCTGCCGGCATTATTACGGGTATTATTTATTGTTATTTCCCCCTGGCAGCTGGGGCACGGGGTGGGGGGAGTGAGCTGGGCACAGCGCCGGAGGGAAGGGAAGGGGGCACAGCCCGTGGTGCCAGCTCGGCAGGGGAGAGGCAAAGCCCCTCTCCCTAGCCCCTCACCCCCCCCCATGGCACAGCAGCCCTATTACACACCGCAGACCTTCCCTGCTGCCCGTCCGTGCAGGTTTTGGGGGGATCACAGCCATCCCCCCATGCCAGGAAGGGCACAACACCATCCTGCCTGAGGAACCCCCTCCTGAGAGCCTTCCCCCATCAGCTGCTGGATCCCAGACCCCCAACACCCTCCAGGTCCTGCCGTGGCTTCCCGGGGTTTTCCAGCAGCCCCCGGCCTCTCTGGCAGAGCTGTGGTGACAAGTTCCATTCTTGGGGACCAGGCTACACCTGATGGCAGCACAGCCATGACAAGGTCTGGGACTGAAATCCCCCCGAAAAGAGTTCTGGTGCCATAGGGATCAATCTCTCCTCTGCCCTAGCAGCTAAATATGATGAGGCAAGGACAGGCAGACACGGTCAGGGAGCAGGAGGGAAGGCGAGCAGGCAGCAGCTTTGGGGCACCGACCCCCCGAGCTTGTAAACAGTGATTTTACAGCCCTGCAGTGCAGCACAGCAGGCCAGGAGGGATGCATCCTGCACACCAACACACGCAGCGGAGTCAGGCACACGCAGATGCCCCCGTACACCCAGGGACACACCATGCACACCCGTGTGCATGAAGGACACCTCTTCCCTGCACAGAGACACACCGCGCACGCCATGTACACGGGGGTTTCTGCAGCCACACAGCTGCCAGGACATTTCTGGGGCGCACACCCACCCGGCCAGCCCCGAACACGTACACCCACCCCTCTCCGTGCCAGGGTCTGGCGTGGCCATGGTGGCACACACACATCGGGGCACACTGGGGGGGGGGCACAGGAGCCCGCAGCCCTTCTCAGTGCACCCCAAACAGCACCAGGGTGTCCCCCCCCAGAGCTCCCCACATCCATCTGCGTCCCCCCGGGCACCGAGCCGGGGCAGCCCCCGGGAGGAAGGGGGTTGAGCACTCTGGGATCTGCACACCCCCCCTTCCAGTCGCCCCCGGGGCTGCAGCCCCCACGTTGCCAGCGGGACCGGCTCCCGAGCGGCCCGGCTTGGCTTCTCCGGCGAGTCCTTGTCCCGTTAGTCCCCGCTAAGGACCGACCCGCTGCCGGCCCGCACGCCCCGGCCGTGCCCGCGTCCAACGGCACCCGCCAGCCCTGCCGCCTCGACGAGACGGGGATGGGCGGGCGGGCAGGGCCGCCTCCGTGGGCAAAGCCCCCGCTTCCCCGCGCCCCGTCGCTGCGGCTGGAGGCTCCGTCCCGCACCATCGGTCCCCGGTACCGTACCGGTGAGCGGACTGAGCCCGGCCGAGCCCCCGGGAGAGCCCCGGACCGGGCAACCCCCTCCTCCTCCGCTCCGCTCCCGGCGGTCCCAGGGCACGGAGGACCACCGCCGCTTCCCAACCGGCTCCCGCCGACGGGAGGAGGCTCCTCCACCCCCCCGAGAGCCCCGTTCCCACCAAAGGCACCGCGGGCGAGTCCCGGCCATGGGCCGGAGCTGAAGGCAGCCCCGGGACCCGGGGGGAAGAGCCCCGTCCCCCGGGGCAGGCATGGGGATGGGGGAGAGCGGTCCCTGCGGCACCGGCTGCCGGTTCACCCCGCGCCTGGAGGGGTGTGGGGGGTTACAAATAGGTAAAAATATGTTCATTAAGAAAAATTAAAATTTAAACCCCACCACCACCACTTTGCAGGGAAACCAGCCTGGAGGCTTGGTTGGCACCGGCCCCTTCCCGGGGAGCCGGCCCTCGGCCGGGGGAGGGCTGGGAGCCCGGTGGGCCCGTGGCCCCGCAGACCGGCTCTCCCCCCCACCCCCCGCATCTCCCCGTGTCCCCCCCACCCACTCTATTTCGGTTCCGTTCCCGTTTATTTCCTCCGTTTCTCCCCGCCACCATTTTGTCCGCGCCGTGGCAGCTGCGGCAAGATGGTGAGACCGGCCGCCGCCGGGCGAGGGTCCCCGGGGCCGGCAGAAGCGGGGACCCTGGCCCGGGCCTGGGGACCGAGAACCACCCCCCCTCCCCAGTCCCGCTCCCAGCCCCGGGACCGTCGGGGCGGCCCCGGTAAGACCGAGGCCGGGCGGAGGAGAGGCCTGACCCCGGCCTGACCCCGGCGGGGGCTGCGGCCTCGGCGACCACCGAGGAGGACCCGGGGGCAATCCCGGGGGTACCGCTGCCCAGCGCTGCCCGTTACCCCGCCGAGGTGCCCGGGGAAAGGCTCGGGCTGCGACGGTTGGGCTGTCGGCGACAGGCGCCTATCGCGACAGCCGGGAAAGAGGCTTGGGTGGGCGGCGGGGGGCATCTTTGCAACCCGGCCGGCAATCGCTCCGCAGGCTCCGGGCGAGCCGGGATGCCCGAGCCGAACTCGAACGGTGCCAGGCCCGGCTCACGGCGAACGAGCAGGGACCGGGATCGGGCCCCGCCGCCCCCGGGGCAGCGGGGAGGGAGGACACGGCCGAGCCGGGGCCGAGGCTCCGGTCCCCACCGCCCTGCCCTGCCCGAACACGGGGCTTGAGGCCGGGCGGCCGCGGAGCTTCTCCGGGCTCCGGTTTGGCGGACGGGGCGGGGGGGGGACACCGGCTGAGCATCCCCAGGCGCGACCCCGGGATGGAGCCGCGCTGCCGCCCCCGGAGCCCCGACCCGGGGAGCGCTCGGCACCTCCCCGCCTGCCGCATCCCCGCCGAGATTCCTCCCCCCCCCCCCCAACTTTTTGGGGTTTGCCATAAAACACACGCTGGTCCCAGCGAGCCCCGGGGCCGGCGGTGGGCTGAACGCGATCGCATCCCGAGGCTCCGGGTCCCGCCGTTCCCCGGGCCGGGCCCGCCGCGTTCCCCCCCCCCCCCCAGCCCCGGCCGAGCGAGTGATATTATAAAGAAGGAAAAAAAAAAAAAAAAACCACAACAAACAAACACCAAACCACAACCAAATAGCCCCTAACTCGCCGCCGCTCCATGACGCTTTTCTCCTGCGACAACGCTTTAAAAGCAAAGCTGATGCTTTCCCCCCTCTCCCGCTGCTGCGCGTCCCCCCGGCGGGGCTCGGCCGGCCCGGGGGAGGACGGGGGGCGGCGGGTGGTATCGTTCCGTGACCCCGCCGTTGCTCCCCGGGACCCCCCGCTCGGCCCGCTGCCCCCGGCCGAGCCCGGCCCTTCGGCCGCAAACCGAGGCGGGCACGCACGGCCAGCCCGGCCCCGCTCCCGGGAACCGCACGGCTGAGCGGGCTGGGGGGAACCGGGCCCGGTCCCCGCCGCACGGAGCGGAACCGGGAAAAACCGCGGTGGCGGAGCGGGGAGTAGGGGGACCGGGAGGCCGGAGCCCGCAGCCCGGGAGCGGCCGG